GACTCGTTTGACGAAATTGCCTGCAAAATCTACTAGCCATGTTTCCAATTGGTAAAGCAGAAAACCCATTTCTTCCAGACGTTATTAAACTTCCTGGAGAAACGTTCCAATGCCTGGTCAAAGTAAGGATCAGGAAAACCTCGCACTTGTAATTCAACTTTCAACGTAAGGAGAAAGCAGGCTTCACCGCCAGGCATACTATTAAGACTACGAAGGAAGGTTGTGAAGGATGAGCGGATTTAAACAGCTGTCAGGGTCAGGGTACTGTGGCTGCCTCAACATCTCGTGTCTTCTTCTTCTTCTTCTTCACCCTCGATTAAAAACATGATAAGCACAGAAGCTCAACAGTTGATGGATCCGACTATGGGCCTGTCGAAACTGGAGTTTTCGACATTTTTCCTTTGCCACACAGACAGTTGAAGAAAAAATATCGAAAACACTTCGAAACTTCGACATTAGTCAGAGAAGTGGTCATTTGTCAGAGAAGTGGTTTCGACATGGGTGTGAAACGGCCTGCCTGCAGCGTGTAGAGTTTCAACATCTCCGAAGGGAGGTTGTGAAGGATGAGCGGATTTTGACATCTGTCAGGATCGGGGTACTGTGGCTGCCTCAACATCTCGTGTCTTCTTCTTCTTTTTCTTCGCCCTCGATTAAAAACATGATAAGCACATAAGCTCAACAGTTGATGGATCCGACTATGGGCCTCGCCACACCAATGTCAAAACTGGAGTTTTCGACATTTTTCCTTTGCCACACAGACAGTCGAAAAAAAAAAAAAGAAAACACTTCGAGGCTTCGACATTTGTCAGAAAAGTGGTCATTTGTCAGAGAAGTGGTTTCGACATGGGTGTGAAACGGCCTGCCTGCAGCGTGTAGAGTTTCAACATCTCCGAACGGAGGTTGTGAAGGATGAGCGGATTTTGACGTCTCTCAGGGTCGGGGTACTGTGGCTGCCTCAACATCTCGTGTCTTCTTCTTCTTTTTCTTCGCCCTCGATTAAAAACATGATAAGCACAGAAGCTCAACAGTTGATGGATCCGACTATGGGCCTGTCGAAACNCGTGTCTTCTTCTTCTTTTTCTTCGCCCTCGATTAAAAACATGATAAGCACAGAAGCTCAACAGTTGATGGATCCGACTATGGGCCTGTCGAAACTGGAGTTTTCAACATTTTTCCTTTGCCACACAGACAGTCGAAGAAAAAATATCAACAAAAAGTTCATCTGGAGGATTAAATTAAAAAAAATCCCAAATCGATTGGCTTTCTACTAAATCGAAATAACCCGACGGCCAGTTCTAAAACGTGTGACGAAAACCGAAACAAATAGAAACACACACACAAAAAAAAAAGCAATTACACTTCTTCATCAAAATTTAATTAAGATGCGGACGTCATCAAGATGAGCAAGGACTTGAAAAAAAAAAAAAAAAACAAGAAAGAAAGAGAGACGTGGACAGGGAGCGGAAAGCGATATGCTAATCGTGCTGTCGCAATCTGTGCTTCTATTATAGATCTCCCATTATAGATCTCCCCACCTGCGCTTCTTCTTCTTCTTCTTCTTCTTCTTCTTCTTTTTCTTCTTCTTCTTCTTCTTCCCTGCGCTATTATGGGGCTCGTTCGACACTCCTCGGGCGCGTGAAGTCCCCGAGGAATTGTTCGTTCCATCTATCCTCGGGGATGCAGTCGGACAAAAAAAAGTGAAAACATTCCGAAGGAAATTCATTGGGCTCCGAGGATTCCCCAACCATTTCTTCCTTTTGAGGAATCCGCGTTTCATGGAGAGGAGAGGGAGCGGGCACATGGGTAGAGAGACGTTACAACCGAGAATCTGGATTGTGGCGGCACCCTATTGGCTGAAGGCCTCGAACACATTTGAGTTTTTTTTTCTTTTCTTTTTCTTGTCTGACATCGTTCGAAGGAAATGTCCTCGGGCGATGTCCTCGAGGACAGGTGGAACGATGGCGGGAATTTCCTTGAAAACCCCCAAGGAAACTTCCTCCGGCCCCGAGACCGCCTCGGGGAGTGTCGAACGAGCCCCTATTTTTAAACAGTTGTTTTTTTCTTTTTTTTTGGCTCTGTCGTCATTTCTCTGTG